GTGTGTGTGTGTGAGGAGAAAAAGGAGAGAGTTGGGGGAGAGGGGGGTGTGTTGGATTTACGCACGTTGATGACCGGGTCGGTGTGATTGGTCACCTCTGCAGGATGCCTGCCAGCCCGCAAGGTTGTGGTGCGCTTTTAAAGTGCTGCGGACCGGCAGAGGCACGGTGTTCAGACCACACAACTGTTGGGGACAGCGAGACCGACGAGGGGACCCGGACCGAACCGAACCCAGTAAACCGGAGAGGAATTAAGAGAGGAAGAGGAGCAAAGAAACACAGAGTCATGACTCCAACTGTGCGACAACTTTTTCTTGTATGTTTATTCTGGTTTCTTGGACCTTGGAGCACAACAGGTGGGTGATCATATGTGAACTGATTGACAGGTATTTTAAAATAACTCAGATTGATGCTTTATTATGCTAGAATTACGTTTTTGTTTGTTTTTGGGGAAATTGTGGGGTTTTATATAGACTATGGATTTACCTGGTAAAAAATACTAATTTGACCTTTAATATGGATTTTCTCTCCTTAGTTTGGCCTGGAGTCTCTCTTTCTTAAAACACTTTATAGTTGACTTATCCTGGGATACACAAAAGGTGCAGAATTACAGCTTGTTAGCCTTTAGAAAGATATTATATAGCCTATGTAATTTATAGTTATAGCTGGAGATAAAATAAGTATGACTGAGTTGAGTTAAAGTAAAAATGCCATTATTCAACCTGATCGTGATTTCTTTTTTCTTATATTGTGAAGTTGCATATATATCTTAAAATTTATATGTAAAAGTAAAAGTATGCTGGGAACCATGGCATAGGGATTGTTTTGTTGTAAAGAGGATTTAATTTGTGTCTTAACCCTTCATTTTCCAACCACATTTCAACTTAACAAAAATCCTATAATGGGATTTTACCAGTAACTGGTACCACAGTCTAAAGCATATACATATAAATGGTTTATATGTTAATTTTACGGTTAATTGTTATTAAATAATCTATTAATAGCCTACTTGTAATAAGCCATTGATATGGCGAACAACTGGGTTGCCAGGTTGTAAAAAAACTGGCTGGTGCACATGGTCTTCTGGGATACAGTAAGCTCTTTGCACTTATCTACAGGAAATGAGCTGCAGTTTGTCTGAACTGAAAACAATTCATCAACACTAACAACTGCAGAGTTGATGGATTTTGTTTCTTTTACAAATATAAAGCAGTGTAAGTTTCGTCAGTGGTTAAAAGGTGCTATTCACAAAAAACATTGTTGACATAATGTACTATCATTCAAAGATATGATTAGAAATGATAAAGTAAGAAACTCACTGGGACTCACTGATGCAATTCCCATTTTACAGTAACCCATCAAGTCTGATGGGTTGTTGTCTGGATGCTGTGCAGTTTAGGTAATAGTCCAGCTGTCCATTGGAAGGGTGCAGTGCCCTTATGCTGGGAGAAGATATCCATTAAATACTATAAGTTCTCCTTATTAGTGGCTTATTACTGGTCTGCAGTAAAGTATTAATAAATGATTCAATAACCATGTAAACATATAAACATTTTAAGTATGCCTTATTAGAGAAACACAGGGGTGAATCAAGTCTAAAACCTTTAAAAGTAGAAATACCTCATGTAAAATATACTCAATTAAGTTAAGTTAATTAAGTGTTAGCAGCAAATTATTTAAAAGTATTTTAAATGGCTCCTTCCAGATTGTTGTATAACTATATATTATATACATTAAGGTGTGAACAGCATTTTCATGTAGTAGTTGATCAAAGTAGATTTAATATTAATGATTTCATATACTGTTGTGTAATTAATCAATAAAGGTGTATTGTATTTTTTAAGGTTGGATATAAAATATGAATTTGCAAAATAACCAGTAACTTTGGCTATCAAATAGAGCAAAACATACAATCTTACTTTATGAAATAAAGTGGAATTGAAGTATAAAGTGGTATAAAACTGAAATACTGAGTGTCAAGTACAAGTATCATATACATAATTATACTTAGGTACACAACTCAAGTAAATGTATTTAGTTACTGTCCACCACTGTAACTTACTTCGCTGACCTCTTCTAGTTCACACTCTGTTATACTAACCACACCCACAACAACAGTGATGTCACGATGTACTGAAGTACTGAGTACATGTCAGCTTCACTGCTTCAACCACTAGAAGTTGGCCAAAACAAGATTTTTTAGGAATATTATTGTAAAGCTACCGACACTTCCGACAGTCTCAGCATTTTTATCCAAAATGTGATTTATTATGTCTGATTGTTTCAGCTACTGGCCTAGCTGCTCATACAAACAGGCTGCTTCATAAATAAATGTAGTATTGTACCAAATATATACTGTCAGTTCTAATGAGGTTATTGTTGATTTTTCTAATTACAGATAGCACAAAAAAACACAATAAAGTACAGCAAAATCACTTTAAAGTCACTATTGTGGACCACAAACACAGTCCTGTAGAATTAATATAGTATACATAAACATATATATCCTAATGTATTTATTATTGTGATGTTTGTATCAAATGTCCTCACATGTATTCTTCACTCAGATGCCAGTCCGTTCGATCAGTGGGAAGATGGGATTGAGTTAAGAAAGGTAGGGAATTATCTTTCATTTTACATTCATACATATTTCCTTTATCATGAAGACTTTCTGACTGTCTAAGTCTCCTTTCTTTGATGCCATTTCCACATGTGATGTTTGTGCCAATTAATTTCTTTTCAGGCTGTGAGTAAAGAGAGGACTGTTAATATGTTAATTAATCAGTAACATTAATCATTGATTATTTCCTTCTGGCCATGCAGTTTAATGTCTTTGTGACCACCTATAGTATGGTCTGTTTAAGTCCATAGATGACGCTGATCTACATGTGCATTCAGTCCAAATACTTGGTGCCAGGAGCAGCTGTAGGAGAGAAAAGAATTTAGGACTGACTGTAAAGACTCAGTTAAAAAGCCCTGGAAACTGCAGTGGTCAGTGATGAGACTGAAATAATGTGATGCATTCACTGTCTATTATCAATTCCTAATGAATTGCTGTTGATGAATTTGCTGTTTGTCTGCAGGTGCGAGGCATCCAAAGTGAGGATTTGAGTGATGTTTTGTGGAGAGACCAGAATGAGGTAGGTGAAGAGCAAACACCAAAAACATTTGTAGGTGGATAAGATTATATATAATGTACAGTATTTCTAACATTTCTCCATCTAAATGAACTGTAACATGAGACAGTGGTACTGGTAACATTCAAGTTTCAAAACATGTGAGTACCACATTTCCCATCAGCCCTGTTTTCTGCTCACTGATTATTTACAGCAATTAATTTGCTAATGATATATAATAATAAAAACATTAATTCAGGTAGGGCGGCTCTTTAATATGTGTGGTTGTACCGAACTGATTCCACATCTTTTAGAAGTAAGGGTTTGTTAGGAAAGATGTTTTTTTATATTTTGGAGGCAAGTGAGAAAAAGGAGACAGTGGTACAGTGATGCTGGCACAGAAAGCAGTGACGCCGTGTGCAAAGTAGGCAGGAACAAGACTGAAAAACGGAAGCTACTTAAAACTAATGACCTGTATGTCACGTCCCAGTTTGACAGAACTTTATCTTTAAAATCTCACTTCACCACTGAGAACCATCAGCTTCCAGAGATAAAAGGAGAATAATGAGAAGACTGACACATGTAAGGGAGAGAGAGGGAAGAATGAAGAGAGTGTGCTTATTAATGTGAAAAACATGAGTCTGTTTGGGTATTCCAGACAGTTTTAAATCTCTTTTGGACATTTTGGACAGAAGTTAGTGTGCAGGTGATGAACCAAACTACACACACTATAACACAACGCCACTATTAACTATGGCCTCAGAAATTATAGAGTTGATTCAACTTGTCATCAGTAACTGACTTCTTATTTGCTTCTTGGAAAAAGGATTTATTGTTGTGGTTAAAATTTGATTTTACTGTTGTGTCCCTCCACTGTACTCTATGTGACAATAACTGTGTAACAATGTTCTAATGACTTTTGCATGTTATTAATCAGAAAATGTCTCTCCCCACAGGATCAAGTCCAGAATGTTTTCAAAAGAGTAAGTTTCTACCTCAGTTTTAACATTTTTTAAAAATGTATTGTCAATATTTGATATTTGTTCAGCAGCAGCTCAATGACGCTCTGAATTTCTCCTGTTTTCAGTTTCTCTTTCATTACTCTAAAGCACGCAACTCTGTTGGAGCTGTACAGCACGAGGTGAGCAAAGGAACAAACAAACCACTGGTGGTGTTGTGTGTCTGATTCATTATGTCTTAAAACATAATTTTCTTTTCAGTTTTTGTTGAGTTATTAGATGTCACTTAATAATAACAGAATCAGAAAAACCAAATATCTGCTGGAAGCTTGCAGGCTGATTTACAGAAAGTAGGTGCATCAAAGAGATCAATCTCTGAAAATGGAAAACTACCCTCGACCATATTAAATTTCATCAGTTAAAACACGTGTTGACAGTTGGTCAGAGATGGCCATTGTTGATTGGAGTGTGTTGGTTCACTCCGAGAGTTGACACGTCAATGCAGCACAAGGCCAAAACTCCTGAAAAAGCATTAAAAAAATTACACCCATTGTAAAAAAATTCAAATATTTCCACTTCTGTTGAAGTTGATGTTGCTTTGATGTGAACAGCTGCTTCTCCCGAATCATCACATCAAAATAACTGAATATTCCGGCTTTGCAAAGCAGTGTGATTTAGAATTGAAATCTCATTACCAGGCTGGATATTGATTGTCTGAACACTTTTAATACTACTACTACTTCAGTACTAATAAATGATCTGTGTTTCACTACTGAGACCAAAACTATATTCTTTGGATACTTTTTGCTTTGACAAATATAAATGTGTTACTGTCTACAAAAGAAACCAAAGCCATCAAATGTTATATGTTGCATACAAGAAGATTTAAAAAAGAATTAGGATTTAGGAAATATTTAACTTAATAAGGTTCTAAAATCTGAGCAGAAATTTGATGAAAGCTTTGGTATTCAACAATTCACAATACTCGCTGCTATAGACACAGATTTAAGTCCAAAAACACTGGATTTACCCCTTATTTGACCAATTATAATCATATTGATGAATTATAATTTTATTGTTTTCATTTCTTTAAACTGTTACAAGGCTCATACCAATGCAACCTGTTGCATGTGTTTGACACAGTGCTATTGTAGGTCTGAACACACCATTAAATAGATATTTTTAGGTTTTCAAACAGAAGGTCAGCAGTTCTTTCTCTCTGCTTTGATTCCTGTTAACTCTCTAAGGTAACTCTCCTCTTTCCTCCTCCAGTCTCACTCAGTTCATCCTTTGATGCGACTTTCCCCAAAGCTTTCCCAGATGAGAAATAAGAAGGTGGTACTCTTGGTAAGAAAATATAAGATTGTATAAAAAACGTATTATTTAATTGTCAGCTGTTATAATAATATATTTTAAGAGGATATGCATCTCATTCAATAAGGACATATAGTGAGTTGAAAGAGGTCCTGTTTGGTTTTTTAGTCACACAAGAAATATATCTATAAGTTGTGAGAAATTCAAACAGTTATTTCCTCTAACGAAATAACAAAGGGAAGCTCAGTGCTTTGTATTAAAGGTACAAATTTAACTTGTCTATCATAAAGTATATGGTCTAAAAAATAAAGTGTTTCAGAAGAAGGTTCCTTAGGCAGGAAATTCATCAACAGAGCAGCAACAGACAACAAACTCACAGAACTTTCACTATTTCTGCCTACAAAACATCAACCTTTATCAGGGAGCAAAGTAGTGAACCAGGGATTAGGAGAGACAGCGTGAATAACATTAAATGACATCACTGTTCAGGTTCGATCCACTGCTGACGCTCACTTTTCTCTTTTTCCCTAATGAAACAGAAGATTCGAGGTCTGCCGGAGGGGATGTTGTAGAAGAAAAATGTACAAAACAAAAAAGCAAATCAGGCTCAACAGAAGAGGAGCAGCAGGCAGCCGGCTGGTGGAGCGACGCACACTCTCTCTACAGAGAAACGTGACTTTTTGTTAACAGAAAATAAATTATTGCAAAGATGTCAAAAAAATAGAACTGCACTGCCATGGCTGCCATGTGTCTTCCTGCTTCCAAATGTCAAATCAGTGTGAGTTAATGTGAACTGTTACCAAGCACAAATTTGGCACGTTGCACTGTTACACAAGACACGGATGTCACAAAATACAGACAAAGCACTCTTAAGAAAATCCTTTATAATCAACAGTGACAGAAAACAATGAGAACCTAGGACAAAAACTGGCACCAATTATTGTGGCAAAGAGGTGAACTCACATTTCATTTAACAGATTTAAATGTACTTGTACATTTTGTGACATACTTATCATGACAAGTAATAAAAAATGTTTTGTCTTTGATGCTTGTGTAAACATCCAGGTGATGGTGTTGTTGATGTTTATTCATATTACAAAAGATTGATTATTGTGCTGTTTTCCCCACAGAGATGTACAGGAGACAACAAGGTCACAGGTTAGATTTTCTCCAGCCAAGTGTCCTATCCAAGTGCCCTTGAGCAGGATTGAGCCCTGTATAAGAACTCCACCGACATGGTCAAAATATGAAATGTAAAAATAAAGGGGATGCCGTCCCTTCTCTGTCCCTGCTCAAACAATCATCGGGAGCTTTAAGCTCCTCTTATGAGTGCTTCTCATGAAGCGGCCGCATGGCCTTTCTGGTTTGGAGTGATAGGCATTTTTTTCCCCCTAATAGTCCTCGTCCTCAGAGTCACTGTCCTTTCGTGTAGGAATCGAACATCTGATCGATGACATTAGCTTGTCTTCGATTTGCTTCTTGGGGTTTTCCTCCAGGTCTGTCTTCACCGCTCCGCTCTCTGATAACCTCCACTCCAGCTCTGGGTGACACAGACATGGACAAATAAACACTTCACTCATAAAGTATGATGAAATGTACAGGATGTGACTGTTGTCCTGTCAATGGTCCAAAATGGCCCTAAAGTTGAATCAACACCTCCAATAAACTGGCAACTGAGTGTGAAACGGTCCACACCACCATACACCAAGGATCTCTTTTTTCATGTGCCTTTATTGAAATGATTCAACCTTTCTGGATACTGCTGTGTTATTAAATGCATTGTTTAAAGGGCCCGGTGAGCAACATTTACCATCCATTGGCAGAAATAGAATCTAATATTCACATGTATGTTTTTATTACAGTATAATCACCTGAAAATCATTTGCCCTTCACTAATGTCATTCCACCATGGGTAAGTAGCCTGTGTAGTTGAACTGTTTCCTTTTTGTTCATTTTTACTATGTGGAGTCTGCACAGGGTGTTTTATTTTGAAAACTGACTGGATGTGCTATGCCATTTCTGTGTCTGTCTGTGGCTTATGTCAGGAACAGACCACGTATTCTAAAATGGCCGCGATCAGTTCTGGTGTGATACAAATTAATTTTTTTGACAGATTTGCAACAGCTGTATTTTTAGTATTAGTATTATTATTGTAATAGCATAGCCTTCTTTCAATCACACTGGGATTCCACAATTCCTCAAAGGTTTATGGTGAAACCAGCATTACTTCAGATACACTCTGATGGTCTGTCGCTTTTTTTTTGTAAGCAAAACACCTCCATACCTTCAACTTTGAGGTTCATGCCACCAAAGACCAGCGGCCCGATGAACTGAGCCTTCATCTCTCCCTCAAAATAGACGAAGATGGTGGGCAGGTTGCGGTCGGGGTAGTTGGGGATGCAGGTGGTGGAGATGGACTTGAGGAACTTGGTCTGAGGGAACTTCCTGGCCAAAATATTCAGGTGCTGGTTGATGAGGCTACACAGAGGGAGGCTGGGAGAGGAAATGAACACCGTACGGATCTGTTAGTGCTGCACCTGGAAAGCGTCAGCAGGGTGAAAACCAAAGTTGGTCCTAATGGGTTGAGTAATGGGCTGAAAGTTAGGAATGCAACACATAATCCTTTTCAATATCAATCAGTATCTCTAATTATTTTATCCACCAGCCCAAGGTGATGTATTCAAATTGCTTACTTTGTCCAACCAGCCGTCCCAAACAAGATATTCAATTTACAATGATAGAAATCAAAGAAAGGCAGCAAATACTCACATTTAAGAGGCTGGAACCAGAGAAAGGTCGACAGTTTTGCTTGATAAAATTGATACATTTGGGTTTGAGTAATGCTCCATATTCTGTATATGCACTCATGTTATACCATAAGGTATTTCGGATTAAAGTTTGCCCACAACAGCTTTTCACAAGAACAAAAAAAATGCTATTTACCGGTAAGTGTAAAAGAAGACTCGATTGAGTTGACTGTGCTAATATTTCAACAGCTGCAACAAATAAAACTGTTTACATTCCCAAAAAAGTCATGAGTCAAAACAAGGCCTAATATGAGCTGAACAGCTGTGTCCACCTGGAAGGGGTTTATAAGGGAGGACAAATCTAACAGAGATTAAACGGTCTAAAGGGTCAATTCACCCAAATCAGACAGCAGCATCAAGAAATGACATTCAAAAACACTTTTAGACATAAGACGAGCCTTCAAGAGTTTGTTGGATGACCTACCCCTGTTTGTAGAGGTGCAGCACCACCCAGATGCCTTCTCCGGCCTTGTTGACCTCCTTGATGTAGTCCTGCCCAGAGATTTCCCCCAGCTCTCCGAACACATTCTTCATCTGAGTCGCCTTCCACTCTGCAAGACGCTTCTGTCTGCAGGGAGACACATCTCACATCAGTGCGCAGTCAGAGCGAGCAACTCTCAATCAGACTCATATTACACAAGTCTCATTCCACTATGAGAGCTTGTCAGAGGTTTATAGATTAATGAGGAATTTCAAAAACAGATGAAAATAACTTTATTATTATTCATCAATCTAACAGTAATGTCCTAATGAGCTGTACCAACATGCTAGGTCAGTACTGGTAGAATGTGCACATATGATTATGAAGGATCATTTCACCTAAACAATCTATAAATATAAACTATTAAGAGATCAGGCCAAGACTAGAATAGTAAAACATTCATATTCAATATCAACATATTTCAGCCTCCCAGTGGAACGTGTTATCTACTCAGCTGTTACCGTCAACACGCCTGCTAGCCTGGTCTGGTTATGTGAGTCTATGTTGAAACGCAGGCTAATAACAATACATAAAAACAGAGTAACAATATAATGCATGTGACTGGGAGTGTACCAGACCCCTACCTGTACATCTCAATGGCAGCCTCATCGTCTTCACCAAACTCATCTTCATTCTCCTCCAGTTCTTCCAGTGTCATGTCCTCGTACGTTTTAACTGTTCAGAGATACAACGTTACTCATTACACCTCAGTTGAATGGGGCCGATGTAAGACTACACTGAACTCTTTTCAGAAATATCAAATATCATAACTAACATAACGGACATTATTTGTACATCTGGAAATAAAACCAAAGCAAAGACATGGATCAACATTAGAAAATGTGTCTCTTACCAACAGACTGCTGCTGGCGGGCCAGCTCCTCCTCCTCTTCATCATCTTTCGGTACCTCTTTGGGAGGAAGAATGCCTTTCTTCCTCAGGATATCATTCCACTCGGTGTCTTCGTTTGGGTCCTGGGAAGAAAACAAAGCGTAGACACACACAAGTACCGTTACTCTGCTTTCTTTTAGCTCTGGTAGGTGATGTTTTCCTGTTTCTGCAAGCAGAGGAAAGAAATCTCAACCCTGAAATCTAAGTACCAACATCAGTATTTAAGAAAGATACATACCAAACTACAGAGTTGAGGTGATGTTTGTGTATGAATTTGTTCCTGAACCAGCCATTGTTGTAACCACTTATTGTTCTGCAGAGGTAACAAAAGTACCTGACGACGATACATTTAGCTAATAAGTGAAAATGTTAAGAAGTTACTGGTTTCAAACACTTCAATGTGAGGATTAGGTTGATATTCTTTCCGTTTCATATTCCTGAACATTTCCACTAACACTTCATTATTTAGATTATTCACTATCAAGTGTTTGACTTAACATAAATCATCAGTTTAATTTATGTCCACCGACTAATCTCTTTATAACTAATTGTAATATGAATGAGTAATTGCTCATATCAGGTCTTTCTCTGTCTCGTTCACAGTTGGGGGATTGAGCACGTAGCTAACAGTGGAGCTAGCCTTGACACTGTGGATACGCCCAGATACATGGCTAGCTCAGTTTCTCAGCACAACACAACGACAGCCCCGATGTTCAGTCGTCTCATTCACCAACGTTAAACAGCAGCGTTTAAAGGTCTAATGAATGTTACCAACCTGCATGCTGACAGATAAAGTCTCCTCTGAAGTCACACCACTGCTCTCCTCTCAGACGCGGAAACAGAAGGACCGAAGACGGACCGATTCCGGCAGAAACAAAAACTTATGGCTGTGTAAAATAAGAAGATCATACGTCCAGGGTTCAAATAAAATCACTTTAACCTAGTATATATTGAGGCTAACACAGATAGTAGTATGTTTTTTTTTTATATGTTGCCACAGCTCGGTAAAGGATGAGGAATAGACGGGTTACGGGTGGGACAATAATAAAAGTAACACGAACTTCCTGTTGGGTCTCAATTTGACCATAAAAGGAGTGGGAGCGCAGCATTCCATTTGTGGCTCCGGAGAGCGGAGAGAGAGGGACAGGTGCTGCTGCTCACACACACACACAC